GGCTCGGGCTGCATACCAGAAGTGAGCGGCTTCCTTGCTCCAGCGAGGCTTGGTCGTCCTTGCATGCGCCAGCGTCGTCGGTCGATCCCCCTCAAGTGGATGGACGCAGCTTGTGGCGACACTAGGATCACCCAAGCGCGTCGTTTCCAGCTTGTACTCGTTGGAGAAAATAGGGCGGCTTGCACACCGCGGTGCGCGCTTCCTCGTGCCCCACATGATCGCCATGCAATAAAGCGTTCTACTAGTGACGTCCCATGAGAGGTAAGGATATACTAGTACCACGCAGGGGAGCAACGACATCGGGGAAGCAGCTTTCGAGCGGCCGTGGCTTGGACAGCTTGACCATCGTTGCGCATCGAACAGCGCCCTCTCATTGCATTTGTCGTCATCCATGAAAGTCGATCTTTGCTCACATCGGACCAAAGCCATAAAATAATGGCCTTGATCGGACGAAGCTTCTTGGTAGGGACACCCAAGGCATGCATGTTTTCTCCACATCCAAACAAGCCCATCGACCTTTGCGCGGTGTCATCAGGGGAAACGAACAGATTCGCGGCGCTGTCCTCGCAGGCAACTCTAATCGATTGATGTACATCAGGCGGCGTCTTCTCGACAGGGGGCTTTTCAGTACTAGGCAAGAAGGCGGCCAGATCAAGCGATGAGCCAACACATTAAATTATACCTCAGGAGGCATGTCCACGGCCGCCTCTTTCCCCACTACGGACATCATATCTCGCTGCGGCGCTGTGTTCACTCCTTGTCGTTGACAGTCGTCTCGAAAGGGATCTGCATCGTATTCTCGTGACAACAGCGGCCATCACCTCTACGGACTCGACGTCGCCTCCTCTACGAATTCGCTTGCGATGATTGTCCAAGATTCCACGCATTCGTTTGCTGGCCCATCGCCACCAGATAACGTCAGTGATCAACCGAGAAGGAAGCATCCACGAGGAAGACGCTTTCGGAAGCGGCATGTCTCCGCCTGCATGCGGGAGCTACTATGTACTCGGGTCTATCGACATACGACTGGAGACGCCCTGAGATTCGTGTGTAGCGTGCATGGCATGGGTGGCGAGCGTAACGCGCTCCGATCTATGGCGCCAGGGTCGTCACTCTGTTTGTGGTCGTCTGCGCACGGCGAGCATATGGTGCAACACGTGCTGACCCTGTAGGTGTATCCATCATTCTGGTCGCCGGTTCCTTGAAGATTCGACGATTCAAGTTCAGTGACCGCCATGTAGCAGCATCCGAGCCATACCTGCCGCTCGTCGTGGTCGACGCATCATCTCTCATCGGTGTTCGATGCGTCATTTTGGGGTGCATCAAACGAACCAGTTGTCACCGCCGTCACGTGCACCAACCACGCGGACAGTTGAGATGCGGTCCTCACCAGGTGCCGTGGTCGTGCCGGCGTAGTCTGGTACCAGCACCGGTTGGCCTGCAGTCTGCCGTCGGTTGTAGGTACATTATGTATCTCACATGCTCAGCGTCTTTCGCGTGCTTCGTCATCGAATCTCCAGCTCCTTTTCCCTCTTTTTCCTCTTCTTCGTAGGTGGTAGAGCGCGCGCAGTGGTCGGACGCTCGACTGACAACCGAGCCATTTCGTAATCGGTGGCAAACGACGGTCTTGGTGGCGGCATACAAAGACGCAAGCTCAATTTGATTAGCTTAGCTCGATTGTCCACTAATACGAGAGGTCTACCCTTGAGATTCCAGCAGCGACGACACTCTTCATAAAACCGCGTCGCCATAGGAAAGGGGTGTGACCTGCACATATCGTTTGAGCTTGACGGAGCGTGCTCGCATCTCGCGTGGGTGTCTCGCCCACGTGGCTGCAACTGCGCCTGCGCCACCATAAGATCTTGGTTCTATAGGAATCGAATCTCGGGGAATCTGTACCTTCAACGACGGGCGTGACACACGTGGCCCGCTGACTGGAGTGTGGGATGTAGCAACATGGTGGGTTCCAATCGCCAGGCGGCGAGCAGATTCGCCCGCCTCTATTGGCTCAGACAATGGCATCGTTGCGCCGGCGTAAAACTAGTTGGTCTGTTTTCGTCGCATTCTGAAATTTCCGCCTTCGTATGCAGACAGCAACGGTCCTGCCGCGCCTCCGGCTCCTGCCGAGCCTCGCGTCGTACCTTGCACCGTCGCCGACGTCGCTCGACGGCTTCCCGACCTTGCACCTCGCTCCGCCCTTCGCACCCAACGCGATTTTGATCCCGCTCGCCGACCAATTGGCGGCGGCCAAAGAGACGCGACCCGCCGACAACACGGTCAGTGCGCTCAAGAAGAAGTGCTCG